GAGAGAGAGAGAGAAGGTGAAAGTAAAGACAACCACCAAGAGGTAGACACAAATTCTACCCAGAGAACAAGCCATCATGTCTGGCTTCAAGCGCCGCCTGCAGCCTGCTACAGGCCTTGCCGAGAGCAGATATCTGCCCTACTATCCCGCGATGATAGATGTCAGCAACGTGAGTTCTCTTGTCTTTCTTTTTTTTTCTTTCAGTCCTCTTGTACCTTTGTATCTTTGTACTTCCTATCAGCTCTGGAGCAAGCCCCGAGACGCCCAGGAAGACGAGCCGAAGACGGGGACGCAGAGAGGGGTCGCGTGGGTGACGCTGCAGCTCGCTATCCCTGTCCGGCCCTGCATATGACATTTTGATATTGACGTCTTGCCTGTTATTTCTTCTTCTCCTGGCTTCTTCTGCTTCCCAGTCCTTGCTGTGAAGAAGCGAAAGTTCCCTGGAAAGTGATAAGAAATGGTGATAATACCGAGATATAGCTGCGTGGAGCTACGAGAAACGAGACATGCTGACTGCTGCAATCATATCTAGGCTACACAGCGCGTGGCAGACCCGGCGCTGCTCCAGATGCAGCCCAAGGAGACTCTCCAGCCACTGATCAATAGCATCCCAGAGGAGCTTGTGGGCCGGTTTGACCCCGTGTACGTCGAGCACTACAACCGCCACAACGCGGGCCGGCTTCATACCCACCAGATCCCCATCGAGGAGTTCCGCAAGAACCCCGGCAAGTATGTGATCAACTATGGCCAGACTCCAGGGCCAGAGGTCTTCTGCATCACGGAGAGAAAGCTCCCCGTCAACGGAGGGACCATCACCGTCCGCATCTTTGAGATGGCGCCCATCAAGCTGTCCCCGGGCAGAGACAAGAAGCGTGGGGCCTATATCAACTTCCACGGAGGCGGTTGGGTGTTTGGCAACCTCGACGCTGACCACCACAAGTGCAAGCGGATCGCCAATGAGCTTCAGGGCGAGGTTGTTGTCTTCGATGTCGACTACCGTCTTGCTCCCGAGCATCCTTACCCAACCGCCATTGAGGATTGCTGGGCGGCTGTCCAGTGGGTAAGTTGTATCAACGTGTCTCCTCAACTTTTGCACCCTGCCCTGCCTGTCATATAGGACTGATTATGTGAAAACAGGTGAGAAGCAGAGCCATCGAGTTCAACTTGGATATCTCCAGACTGGCTGTTGGAGGTGCATCTGCTGGTGGTCATCTTGCGGCTGTGATGGCACATCTGTGCAGAGACTATGGCTATCCCCTCAAGCTGCAGCTCCTCATTGTCCCCGTTGTTGACATGCACAGTTCCTTCACTGCAGACGGCAAGTTTGATCGCGAAAATACCCCATACGAGTCGTACCGCGAGATGGAGCACACCGTTCCCCTGCCAGCCGAGCGTATGGCGTACTTCCATCGCCAATGGCTTGGAGTTCCTCGCCCTGAGCCATCTGAAGACGTAAGTTGCTTCCCGAGTGGTTTCTGCCATTCCTCTCTCCTCTCGAACTTCGGGTATGCTGATATAGGATATCTTTCAGGACTGGATGATCTCACCCATCTTTGCCCCCAACTTCGCCGACCTGGCTCCTGCCATCGTCTGGACAGCTGAGATGGACCCCCTTCGCGACGAAGGCGCTGCCTATGTGAAGAAGCTGGAGTCCGCAGGGGTCAAGGTCGAGCATATCTGTGTCCCCGGAGCGCCCCATACGTTCTCCCACCACGACGCCATCCTCGAGGGCGGCAAGCTCTTCAAGAAGCAGTCCATCGCTGCCCTGGCCGACGCTCTCCGTGACACCGGCCTCTGAATCTCCCAGACTCGACCGTAACGATCAATCTTCAAAGCTCCCCCGTCAAAATCTTGCTCCTAGCTTGCCCCTTGTTTCGACGGACCGGAAAAACCCGGGATCTTCCTTAGTCCCGGCATAGCATTTTCCATAGAAAAAAAGAAAGAATTAAACGGACAGCTTCTTCTTATTTTTTTCAAGCTCTTTTCCGCTTCATCCCAAAACTTCTGGACTGCATCTCAGCTTCTTGTGTACTTGTATCCCTTCCCCCCCAATTGGCATTGGCCGTGTACCATTTCAGCTGCCTGCGTCCTGCGTTCTGTCCTGTACCATATCAATTCTTCTTCTTTTTTTTTTCACTTTTTACTTTCTCTTTTAGCTCCCGGTAGAATGCTTAATTCCACGGCCGTTCGAGCCCTCGGGCGCTGTGCCTCCAAGTCCGCAGCTCGATCACTCGCCTCTCCTCATACACTCCACCTGCGGAACTCTTGCTGCCGCTCTATAAGTAGTGCCCTCCGGCCGTCGCCTGTCTCGAATAAGTGCCAGCTGGTTTCTGCCAGAGGATTTGCCTCGACTGCAAGAATGATGGTACCGCTTCGTCTTTCGCTGTTGTGTTGTTGCGCTTCATGGAGGTGATTATACTGACTGACCCGCCTGCTGGTGATATATAGACTGCCCCTCGTACGGAAACCGACGCCTTTGGCGAGATCCAGGTAGGTCGGCCGTTTCTACAGCGTCGATAGCAATGGAGCAACTGGCCTAATACGTTCTATCTCAGGTTCCTGGAGACAAGTACTGGGGAGCCCAGACTCAAAGGTGCGCAGACAGAGGCTCCTCCTGGAGCTGGTACAAGAAACTGGACGGAGAATGCTGATACAGGCTCCAGATCCCTTGGGAACTTTGATATCGGGCAGCCCCAGGACCGCATGCCTACTCCGATTGTGCGTGCCCTTGGTATCCTCAAGGGTGCCGCTGCAACCGTCAACATGAAGTTCGGACTCGGTATTTCTCTCTCTCTCTCTCTCTCTCTATGCATACATGTTTGGCTGGCGGACAGCATGATATAAACGGCTTGGACTGACTGAAATAACTTGAAGACCCTACCATTGGCAAGGCGATCCAGCAGGCCGCCGCTGAGGTTGCCGACCTCAAGCTGGTTGACCATTTCCCTCTTGTTGTCTGGCAGACCGGCTCTGGCACCCAGTCCAACATGAACGCCAACGAGGTCATCTCCAACCGTGCAATTGAGATCCTGGGCGGAACCATGGGCAGCAAGAAGCCTGTCCACCCCAACGACCATGTCAACATGTCCGCCTCGTCCAACGATACCTTCCCTACCGTTATGCACATTGCCGCCGTTCTGGAGATCGAGGATTCTCTTCTTCCAGCCCTGACCAGCCTGAAGGACGCCCTGCAGAAGAAGGTAGACCAGTTCAACGACATCATCAAGATCGGCCGAACCCATTTGCAGGACGCCACTCCTCTCACCCTCGGCCAGGAGCTCTCCGGCTACGTATCCCAGCTCGAGCGCAATATCACTCGCGTTGAGAATGCCCTGCCAGACCTCCGATTGCTGGCTCAGGGAGGTACCGCTGTCGGAACCGGCATCAACACCTTCAAGGGCTTCGACGAGGCCATTGCCGAGGAAGTCAGCAAGATGACCGGCAAGCAATTCAAGACCTCACCAAACAAGTTTGAAGTGCTTGCCGCTCACGATGCTGTCGTTGAGGCTTCCGGAGCTCTCAACACCCTCGCTGCCTCTCTCTTCAAGATCGCGCAAGACATCCGTTTCCTCGGTTCCGGCCCTCGCTGCGGTCTTGGTGAGCTCCAGCTCCCCGAAAACGAGCCCGGTTCCTCTATCATGCCTGGAAAGGTCAACCCTACCCAGTGTGAATCTCTCACCATGATCTGCGCCCAGGTTATGGGCAACCATGTTGCCACTACCGTTTCTGGAATGAACGGCAACTTTGAGCTCAACGTCTTCAAGCCGGTCATGATCCGCAACCTGCTTCACAGCGTCCGCATCTTGAGCGACGGAATGAGGTCGTTTGAGAAGAACCTTGTCGTTGGCCTCGAGGCTGACCGTAAGAGAATCGAATCCATTCTCCACGAGAGGTATGCCTCGTCTCTATTCCTTTCTTTTTCATTTGCTGTATTTTGAGTGTACATACTAACGTGGGCCCCTCTAGTCTTATGCTTGTCACTTGCCTCAACCCCGTTATTGGATACGACATGGCCTCCAAGGTTGCAAAGAATGCTCACAAGAAGGGCCTCACTCTCAAGCAGAGTGCCATGGAGCTCAAGGCTCTTAGCGAGGAGGATTTCGACAAGCACGTTCGTCCAGAGTTGATGATTAGCCCCAAGGAGCGCAAGTAGGTGCCTCCCAGTAGCTTCATTTCTTGAATAAAAGATAGCGATGTAAATATCAATGTTAGACACAGTACAACTTTCCAGCGTACGCCCTATGAAGTTCTAGAAATGAGGATCACTGTTTAATTTCATCCCCCTGTTAAAAATAAGCGAGAATTTCTCTTAGTCTTGTTTCTATGCTTTATTTCAATAATACTTGATAGTAAACCCGAAAAAAGCTTTCTACAAACTGCCCTCCCCATGCACATCCTGATATATTCTTGTCCGTGGTGAGGCGGATTCTAGGCCTTCATTGCTTTCGATATTGTTTCACTGCAGATACTGTGTATGACCAACTTGCTCTGTACCATCTCAACAAGGCTGCATCGTCTCGATATATACTAGGGATATGCTTTCTCCTTGGCCACAACAGTAGTCTCCTGCACTTCGTATCCAGAAATGGCAGTCTCTACGAGAAGTGTCTTTACGACCTCGGCCTCAACAGAGCATGTAACTAGACATAAATCTATAAATCTCGCTCATATCCCGCTCTATCGCTCGATATACACAGCCCACCCAGTCCATTGCTTTGTTTACACCATTAAATAACCACCGTCATGCGTTTCCTTCCCATTTTAATGACCATCGGGTCAGCACTGGGTGCAGTCCTTGTAGACTTCCAGTCTGCTCGGGGAGATGATCCATCAGTGCTCGGCTTGCGGAATCTCGAAACCAAACGGGGGACAATGATCCCAGATAACATTCCAGATCTATTCATCAAGAAAGGAAAGGACCCCAATGGTGCTTCTGTGGCTCATTTTCACAAGAAGAAGGGCATGCTACGAGCCGAGTATCACTCCCTTAACAAAGAAACGAAGAAAGACAAGACCTATGCCATTCGCTATGAGTTCTCCTTGGGGGCGATTGAGCAAAGCCTGAGCATCTGGCAATTGTAAGTTTATGCGAACTGCACGTTCCCCCCAGTAAGTCTAGAGCTAATCTAGGGCATAAAGTAAGGAATACCTCACAGATAATGCGGAGGATGGCGGCGCCAATGTCCCTCTGGCCCTGAAGTTTTCTCGCAGCAACCTCCAGCTCCAGTATCAGCCCAAATGGGACGCACCACGGCAGATTCTATGGCAAACTGCACCTAAACTCAACACCAAATACCGCGCAGACTTCCTGATTAATACTGGTACCCCTGGCTGGGTTGAGTTTTCGTGGAATGGGCAGGTTCAAAAACTTGGTACTCAGGGGGAAACTCGGTTTGCCGCAACCACGTTCCCTGGTCGATCGGATCCAAAGTTTGGCGCATACCTGGCGGACGATGTTGATGTCGACTTTTACGTCTATAGAGTCCTTATTCAAGAGAATTAGAAAGTAGTATGCCCTTGTTTTGGCACAGGATATCACGGCACCGAACGTTCGAGGGCGTATATCGGCTTCCAATGTCAGGTCGATAGAGTCGGCGCTTAGTTTTCATAGATTAATAGGCGCCAGACTCACATGACGTCATTGGTGCCCTGAGGTCCTTTTCCTCCGTGGTGACTAAGCGGCGTCTATTTGAGACATGGAGTTACGTTACCGCTCCTTTTTTCACCTCTCCCTCGATCGAACTTCTATCGTTTCCTCTCTTTGGATACGCAAGAGTCTTTGTCTCCTCCTAGTTGAACTGCCTGTTCTCTATCGTCAAGGGTGTTGTTGCTGTTTCACACTGGCAGTGTTGAGTTGAAAACTTCACCCCGCCCTCACCCCTGAATCCTCCACTTCCTCCATCTAAGAGAAGCCCCAACCAGGCGTTAAATTCGACAGCTTTGTCTTCTCTTTACATACCATCCACCTTTCTATCCAGCAGCCTTTCTCTCCCATGGCCATTGAAGCTTCGTCTACGACTGTCCCTGTGGCCGTTACAAATAACTGTATCGATACCAAGATGCTTGCCATTCATGCCAAGGAGGTGAAACCGGCGGTGACCGAGGCCACTAAGGCCAACAACGAGGAAGAAAAAACTGAAGAAGGCCTCTTTTCAGCCTCCTATATATCTCCCGAGGTTGTCTCCTTGCTTCCGGAGAACTATACTCTCCGCCCACTTCGCCGCTCAGACTACCAGAACGGCTTCCTCGATGTTCTCAGCGTTCTCACCAAGGTTGGAGAGTTCACCCCCGAGCTCTGGAACGAACGATATGACTGGATGGCCAAGCGCAATGATGAGTATTATATCCTTGTTATCTGCGATGGGACCGGCCGAGTTGTTGGCACTGGTAGTTTGATTGTTGAGAGGAAATTTATCCATGCCGCTGGCTTGGTGGGGCACATTGAAGATATTGCCATTGAGAGCGGCCAGCAAGGAAAGAAGCTCGGCCTGCGCATGATCCATGCTTTGGATTATGTTGCTAAAGAAGTTGGCTGTTACAAGGTAGGGTTGCCCCTTTTTACCTAGTGTAAGAAATAAAAGGTACAGGAACTAATTTGTATCTCTTCTCAGTCTATCCTGGATTGCTCCGAAGCCAACGAGGGCTTTTATCTAAAATGTGGCTTTAAACGTGCTGGATTGGAGATGGCCCATTACTACTGACTCAATTTCGTGGTATTGGATTCCTCTTTGCGCAAATTTCATTAAACGTTCCACATAGATCATAGATGGTCAGGGGATTTGGTTTGCTGGAAAGCCATGTCCTGTTATAAACACGGTGTACGGGGAGCCGATGTGAATCACTCGTATGAAGAGCAATCGCGGGTACTTTATCCAAAGTGGATGAAGGTACCATAGCAGGTGATACATCCGTCTAAGTCCAACTGGGTTTTGCTGCTTTCTTGTGGGTTTGATGGTATTTGAAATTTATATATCTAATAGTTTACACCCGCCGGTTTAGTTGGGCGCATAGCTTTCTAATGATGATGACGATGATAATGGACAGAGCCAGGGCTGTTGATCTAATTGCCTTACAAGCCAAGGCACAACTATGTATGATGGCCACTATCTAAGGCAAAGACTGCGGCACCTGGGTACAATTGAATCAGCCATAAACATGATTTTCTACTTTCCACACTCACACTCACGGAGCTGCTCCGTCTCAACAAGACCAGCAGAGCGCAAGTCGTCTAGGCCCATTCTCAGTGGAAGCTCATGAAGGCAAGCCTACCAGACAAATACAACCAATATTACAGTACAAGTACAACAGATCGAGCAGTTCGGGACTCTTGATCCACTCATCATCCATACTACAGAGAACAGTATACCATAAAATTGAGATGAATAACCTTGATATTAAGGGGGCATGCAATTAAGAATTTCTTAGATTCATTCCCATACCAATTATTCATTCATCAAGCGCCCTTTTTCAACTGTGATTTCTATTTTGTCCCCCCCTAGCAAAGCTGACAATAGATAAATACCATGTTCAACCGCTCCGCTCGATCTCCGGTTGTGATATCCATAGCATTTTCCATCCTCATTCTCCGAGTGCTTGTTTCATAACCGCTTAGGAAAAGAGAAATTCGTGGGGTTTTCCACCATATTCGAAAGATTTGGGGTTTTTACAGAAAACGAAGCTGACGAAACGAGGCGTGAAGAGAAAAAAAGAAAGGTCCACATGTTATAATGCTTATGCAGCACCTGGGTTGGGATTCATCTGTAGCAGAATTATCAGTTTACTGTTGTGCTCGAGAGATATCCATCATTTCGAGATGTATAAAACGCACCTTTCTCTTTCCACCAGTCATTGTGACGTTGACGAATCGTCGGGTGTATTGGAGGCGCTTCTTAGCACGACCCTTTGGGGTCTTCTTCTTCTCTTGTGGCTCGACCTATTTCTCCCAAAAATGAGTCAGTCGTCTTGCTCTTATTCGTTGTCGTGTCAATACAGCCTATGGCCCCAGGTAACCGCAAAAACAACACCCAGCTTCCTCCCTCCATATTGCTAGGGGCTGCAACCATCATCCTGGATCCTCGTCTTCTTGTGGTATGCGCGGCCGAAACTGAGGGACCCAAGCTGGTAAAACTGACCTTTGGAGTCTGAGACTTGACTTTACCCGCACGAGCGAGCGAGCCGTGGACTTTACCCATGATGTGCGATCGGTTCGTAAATCGTAGAGATGCAACTGTTCAAGCTACAAAAATTCCAGAGGTTAGTCAGGTTGGCCTTTTGAAAGAGCTGGAATATAAGCGGGTTTAGACTGCGACAACATGCGAGAAAAGTGCGCCACGAGCAACACCATTCAAACAGAGTCCATCAAGAGAGTTAAGAGTGTAACTAACCGTGTGCTTTGGATGCGTTGACGACTTGGTCTTTTGATGCCGATGGTCTCGCTGGTGGTCGTTTCGGTGATGGACGAAGTTCCTTGGAGGAAGCGAACGCCAAGACAGAATTTTCCCTCTTAGGGTTGTAGCCCTAACTTCCTTTTACGGGTGTTATCGGAGCCGTTCTTTTGATAAGATGGACAACCTAGTTTGGTGAATAAGACGGCGGAAGAGGATACATATATGAATACAAAGACACACTTACATAGGTTCGTGAATTACGAATATGGCATACATTCGGATAAATTAGAGTGGGTTACATGTAAGAAGAATCTCATTTGAAGCTATCATCAACCTCGCTGGGGGCTTGAACAGCAAGATATCAATTGAGATAGTCGAGAGTGTTGTCAAAAATAAGCATGGTATGGCTGAAACCGCTGCTGGAATAGGTAAAAGAGAATGGTTCATTTTACCAGGCCTACCCATCAATAGATGGTAACAGTTCTCATCGAGGAACGCTCTCATTATGAGGGATGGTTTTTCTGTAACCCCTTTTTAACAAAGCATGCCAGGCCCAAACACCCATCGTAATACCGCACCGCCCGTAAATCCATCGTTCACCTTTCATTTATCAAGATCTAACGAGACTTAGCAGCAACTTTGGGAGCGGATCCCTTAGCACCCTGCTTGCTCTGGATTCGGCCACCTTGTCCTCGTCCAGCTGCCTGGGCGGCTTTGGCCTTCTCGGCTCTCTTCTTGCTTTCAGCGGCAGACTTCTTCTCCTTAGCCTCCTTCACGGCGGCCTGACGGGCGGCAGCACGGGCTTCGGGTCGCATGGTTCGGCGTTCCTTGATGACATCGAGGGAGGCGCCGACAATAGCACGCTGGTGCTTCACAACACGACGGGTACGCTTCTTGGCAACTTCCTATAAAACCAAACGAAAATATCCCATGGTCAGCCTCGATGTGCAATATAGCATGCAAAACACATTGCCACTGCTCATTTCTTCGCTTCATCCATCCCGTACCCTAGTACATCCCAAACCATAGAAGCCCCATATGAAACCAAGCACAAATTTCTCGAAAGGAAAAATATCGCAAAGAATCACTCACTTCAGAAAGTCCCTTCTTGTGTTGTCTGCGGTAAAGGATGGTCCAGGCTATCCGACGTGGGTTTTTGCGCTGGAGGAAGAGAGATTCGCTTTTGCCATTTTGGAATCGGAAGATCTTGCTGTCGCCTCGAACATACAGCTTACCCTGTTAAACGAAGAAAGGGCCTCATTAGCATAAGCTCATCAAATATAGACGTCGGAAGGCTCCTCTTCGGTCTCGGTTCGATGGTGGTCCGGAGAGCTGGATGAGCGACGTCAAAAACATACCTTTCCGGGGTAGATCTTCTGACCACTGAAGGAATCGTCGTAGGTACGCATCTTGAGTTGTGGTGATGCGCAGCCGGCGTGTACGAGGTTGAAATGTTGACGTCGTTGTGAATTAACTCGTTTGCGACTCAAGGTCAAACTTGGTAATCGTTTGGTGTGAGGTTTACTCGCTAATTGTGTGTCACGTGACTCACTAGCCCTTAAACTCGCCCAAGCGCGACAATCGTCAAATTGCGCGTATCTAGACGCCAGAACAGCCGTCGTTGGGCGTACCGAGGAATTGATTAATAGTATAAGGTTTCTTCGCGACCCCATTCAGGGTTATACCGTGAGACTGAATTCAGTGGGTTCTGAACGTGCAGCTGAGATCGCCGTAGGGACTTACACCGATACTAATCTTGTGCCATTCACCCATGCGTAATTACCTCGATAGCACTATGACTGTAGGTGCTTCAGGCAGTAGCGGCCTGCTGTTAAGTTTCCTCAAGTCTATGAAGAAGTACGAGTGAATGGGGTTAATCTTTATATTTAATAATTGCTAGCTGACGCTGGACGATCTAACGTGTTTGCAAACGAGTAATTTAAACCATGGCATGTGTTCTTGTCCACTCCCTTGCTGTCTGAATGGCCGCGGGTTCATCTTCCTTCCATCGCTGTGCAACATCGTTGGCCAGAGGATCATCTGGGTTCGGCGCGCCAAGCAATGCTTGGATGGATAGCAAAATTGTCCGGATTTGCAACGCCGGAGACCAATTATCTAGAATGTTATACCATGTTAGGATCTGCCATTCGCTATGAGAACCGCATCATGGTGGGCGTCATCTCACTTTTTAACACATCAAGGCAGATTCTTCCTAATCTATCAATATTTGGATGGTAAATCTTGGTGAGGAAACGGATCTTTGGAGGTGTCATTGGGTAATCTTCTGGCAAAAATAGCTCGAGTTTGAAGATCCCCCCTGTGTTGTGACAATCAGCTCTCTGGTTCAACTAACACGATGACAGGAATTCTGGTGATGTTATGCTGACCTTCGTAGGGAGACTGTGCTGGACCGTGGATTCGGACGTCGAAATACCGAAGGTTATCTTCGTGAGGAACTGCATTAATCCCGGGAACACTGCACAAGTCAACACGATTGTTAGTAAATATATAAAGTATTATTAACTATTTCATTGATTATTTTCTTGTCATACTTACGGCTCTGCCATCAACCGCTCCGTCTCCTTTACTATCCGCTTTGGTAGCCCCGCCATGGTCTGTTTGCAACTGGTACTACTGGGCTCTGGAAGAATATTATCGTGAGGCGGTAGTGTGACGAGCGTTTGAATTAATGGCGCCTATGCCTGTTACTCCTGTACGGTATATCGCGTGGATGGCTGTTGATAATTTGTGGTATTTTCGGGGCTGCTTCCCTGTCAATCTTCGCTCGGCCACGCTGCAGAGCCCAGGGCGTGGGAAATGGTTTTCGGTATCAACGAGACGTCGGAGTAATTATTTTATCCCTTGGTTGGCCCTGCTTGACTGCTTGACAAGTAAATGGGTCTCTCAGTCTTTCACTGCTGGGATTCATCTAACTGTTTGCCAGCTTTATCCCACCTTTTCTTTTGGCAGACGTTGCTCCCCGCAGGTGCCAAGACCTCTCATTGCAGGAGAAGCACGTGCCACGAGCTAAATCCAACCCAGTAAGGCGTTGCTTATGTAACTAACTAACCACAACTTCAGTTTGACTCTCCAAGCCGTATATGACAGCATAGAAAGGGACACATTCCCAGGCCCTTGACAGCTCTACTTTGGGTATTTTAGGCCATTTCTTGCAATTCTCAGAGACGTTCGACGGGAGAGGATCCCGACCGAGATATCCCCAGAATGCAAACGAAATCTCTGGACGCGCAGACCGCGGTAGTGCAAGCTATTGTGAACGCGTGGATTAGGACATCTCCTATATAGTTGGTTAACATTCGGTGTATGAGAACCATAATTGCACTGGATATCGTCTCCTCAACCTTGCGATCACACGGAGCCCTTCTCTGAACTCGAAAAATGGCGGGCCAAATCGAGTCAGGACCGCTTGCTTCGGCATACGATAGCCCCAAGTTCGGGGAGGACAGTTCATTCCACATTGATCAAGCAGTTGGATCAATGTCAATATCGCCTTGCGGGAGAGATGTTGTGCTTGCATCGTAAGATAATTCTTGAAATTTGACCCTTCACTTATCGCTGACGGAATGCTAGAAAGGAAGGCCTACATGTTATAGATCTCGATAATCCGTATTCCCCGCCCCGTTATCTTCCTCACCGAACAGCATGGGAGGTTGCCGATGTCCAGTGGTCTCCCTTTTCCGCTCGGGATTCTTGGGTGGCAAGCACGTCAAACCAAAAAGCCTTGGTCTGGAATTTGGCTATGCGAACTTCACAGAATTCTATAGAACATGTTCTACACGCACACTCGAGAGCAATAACGGATATAAATTTTTCAGCCCACCATCCTGATTTACTAGCTACTTGCGCTGTCGATAGTTTTGTCCATTGCTGGGACTTGAGAACACCCGCCAGGCCTGTTGTTTCTTTTTCGGATTGGTTTACCGGGGCAACTCAAGTCAAATGGAACCGACAGGATCCTCATGTTATTGCTAGCTCCCACGATAAATCGCTTCACATATGGGACGATAGAAAAGGCGCATATCCCCTACGCACCTTTGAGGCACATGGGACGAAAATTTACGGCATTGATTGGAACAGGACTCGCCCCGAGGCTATTGTCACCTGTGCACTAGACAAAACAATCAAGTTCTGGAACTATTCAAAAGAAGGAAACAGGCCAGAGAACGTTACCCATACACCATTTCCTGTATGGCGGACACGGCATACCCCGTTTGGATGGGGTGTTCTGGCGATGCCACAACGTGGAAACAGTGATCTTCATCTATATAGCTGTGTTTCAGCCGAGACTAACAGGAGTGAACATGATGATCTGCCATTGGTCCACAGCTTCCCCGGGCACAAAGGCCAGGTCAAGGAGTTTCTTTGGAGGCAAAGGGGAGGCATCGTAGATGGCATGGATCAGCGAGAATTTCAGCTTGTCTCATGGGGAACAGACAAGGAGTTACGCCTTCATCGTGTAGACCCAGAGATCCTAAAAGGTGTAGGCTACGAAAAGGGCAAACCATTCAACCCCCTACTTAACCTTACTCGAAAAGGGGCAGCCTACAAAACTTTTCATGATGAACACTCCTACGAGCATGGTGAAGTGGGTGAGGATTATGGTGAACGATCAGAATATCTTGCCGCCAACAATACTCTCAAAGGGATGAGTGGGGTGAGCATGCCATACTCGCGTGGATGGGGTCAAGTTCGACCCATTGGACAATCAAGCAGTGTTCGTGGGCGCACAACCCTTAGAGCTGATATGAACCCAATTTCCTGGATGCGAGGAGTGAAAATCTCTGGATGGGAAGTGGAAACTCTGGGTGATGAAATAATCCATGTTGGTGAAAAATTCACCCGTGTAGCGTTTGAATCTGTCAATGTTGGGCAGCGGAAAGCGACCATTTCCATGCACGGGCCCTGGGGATCGGAGAACTCGAATGTTTTCCTCAAAATTGATATCAAGTTTCCCACAGAATACCCTCGAATGGAAGCACCTATTTTCAACGTCCAAAGAACAACTGCGGTAACAAGCCAACTGGTCAAAACTGTTACTACTGGAATGCAGACAATTGCAGAGACATATCTTTCAAGACAACGAGGCTGCCTTGAAGGAGTGATTCGATACTTACTTGGGGAACATACCGTTGAGGAAAGTGTAGCTCTGGCAAAGAATCAGCCAAGCGAACATCTTAAGTCTGCTGATATACTTGCTGGTAATGAGTCAAGTGATGAGGACGAGGACGTTGGCCAATTTCAGGACTCTGATCTTGCTCTAAGCTCTTCTGAGCTTCTTCGCCCTATCAATGCCAATGTCATGGTTCCAGTTGCCCGAGCATGCGGTGCTTTATGGGCCAACGATGGCCAGCTTGTCTGTTTCTTCCCAAAGAAGGAAGAAAAACCTCCCTCTTTCCTAGACTCTATAAGCTTGAGGGCCATGGCCGGATCATCCCGCAATGACAAGGTATTTGAAGGATTTGGACGCCTTCAAACAGGCTCTCCGGTGCCAAGGGCAACAGCCGAATCGGCTGTCAGTGGTGGTATTGTCACTGAAGACGGTGGTTCGGAGTTTTCTGATGACTCTTCATACGATTCGTCTAGCTCATCTGGCTCCTCCGATCTATTAGGCTCACTCCCTCAACAGTTCCAAGGGAATCACGCCTGGAGACACGGTAACATTGGATTTCACCTAGCACGCTCAATTGCAGGGAATTCACAGAGGTCTGTTGCTGGACCTAGCACTGCCAGATCATCGTCGGACTCTTGTCAGAATTATGTCCACATATACCACTTTAATGACATATTACCTGCAAAACGAGAACTTGCTCAGCAGTACAAAATATTTGGGAACCGTGCGGAGATTTGCTCACATAATATGGTAGTCGCAGCGAATGCAGGGCTTTCAGATCTATCCTACGTCTGGGGACTTCTGAATTTACTCTTGGATAATAAGCAGACAACCGATACTAAAGGTGTAAAGGATCGTTTACGGCACATACTTAACAATCCTGTGGGCAGCCTGCGACGAAAAGACAGCGGTGTCTGCTTGAACAGCGAGAGACAAAAAACATGGGGGAGCCATCCTCTCGGAGCCCGGTGGTTTATCCCTGCTTTGTGAGCCATCCTGCAACGTCTTATCCTTAATTGCTTAACTGCATTCTTCTTTACTTCTTCTTTTTTTGTAGAGCCACATCACGCTAATTTTATATAGGTTTGGACATTTCGAACAGCTTGGAGACGTACAGATGCTCGGGATGCTTTCGTGCGTCTTGTACGAGACTGACATGAAGCGACTTCTTCCAGATGATCCGTCCAAGCCCCGAGTCTCAGAATTCTTGGATGATAAAAGCTTTTCTGACCAGCAATTCAGGGGGAAACATAATACCACACCGCTGGCAAGCAAAGACCTACCTAATATATCGGCATCCCACAGCTCTGGGTGCTCGTCTGCTGATCAGTGGCACGGGAACACCCCACCGCTGTATTCAACAGGAACCACGCCTCCCACCGGAGTTCGCGGGGCAAGGTCCAGTATGGAACGTAAATCCCGTTATAATACGTCTCTGTCTGGGTCTCCTGACCCGCCTTCTAATATGCGGATAAATACCAATTTTGGCAATACCTTGGCCTCCTCACTCTCACGATCTCTAACCTTCGGACCATCTGCGTCATCTTCACCTCCAACTGGTCTCATTAAGAAGCAACCTAGTCCAATAGGCAGTCTCACTACCCATGGACCTAGCATCTGGAGCTCTGTTGGTGGTCTCCGTAACAAGGCAGCGTCCGCATTACCTAGTTATCTTACTCCCTCCGCAATTGGCACACCCCTAAGATTCTCAGATTCAGAAGAGAGCGATAAACCAGTTTCACCAAGCGCGAATAAGTTCAGGAGAGGCATAAAGGTTGTCAAGAAACACCAAGCTGCATTTGACAACGATTGCAGGGCCGAGGTCCCTTTGCTTGATCCTCGACTCCAGTCACTTTATCAAGCCTACAGAGAGAACTATGCTCATCTTCTATTTATATGGAACATGCCTATACAAGGAACTGAGGTTCTGAAAATGGCTTCCATTGTCGACAACGAGACAGAACGCTCTCTTTTATATAAGTCGAACAACAAATATCCACGGACCAAGCACGTCAATAGGCGCCATAGCCTGGCAGTTAACCACCACCCTTCAACAGAAGTTCTGGCCGAAGGACTCAACCTGCAACATCATTGTGCAACATGCGGATCCGCCTTACAAGTTTCTTCTCCAACGCAAAATCCACTGGGTGAAGCTATCGGGAGGAATAGCAGACGTAACGCACTTGTGAATATACAATGCCTTAACTGCAATTTGTCATTGCCGGGTTCGCAAAACATGTCGTGTGCAATATGTACTGAGGTGATTCAAGGCATGTTTAACCCTTGCTTCGCCTGTGGCCATATGTGTTGCTTCAAATGCCATTCTCAATGGTTTGCGCCGAATATTACGGCGGAAGGTTCCATGGAGAAGAGCGTTTCTATACTATGCCCCACCGGATGTGGGTGTAACTGTTCAGAACACTTGGTGATAGATATGCCTATACCCCCCACGCCTGCTTCACCTGCAATATCCGCTGCACCTCCTCCACCAGCTCCGCCATTGCCAGAAGCTGCTCTGAGTCCTTCCAAGTCAAAGAGCAAACCTTTATACCCAGGAGCAAGTGGTAACCGCAAAAATGCCAAAAAGTGGAGGAATAGTTTAAACCAAACAACGGCAACAAACGACGCGGACCAATCCGATAAAAACCAGACTGGGACCTCTTCGGGGGTTCGCAGCCGAGCTAGCCTCGATGAGCAGCTCCCGGGAGTAAATCCTCGAAAGCCAGCTGCTAATTCGGGTTCAATTAGCCGCGTTGCCGGCTGGATCGGCAAGAGCTCACTTGAAAGGATGGATACCGTGTGAAATCGTTCGAATTCAACGTCATTACACCACTTTGATCCTCAAGTGTTCTATTTATACTGTATACCCACCTACTATGTACTTATAATGTCTTGCTACTAGTAATGTATCAGTTGTTCGTTTTATGTCCATGGTACCCTATATTACATTTCGTAGTCACCTCAAGATGACCGCCCGTGTATATTGGTCATCTGGGTAATGAAAAATGGTACCTGCCGAAGCTAATTTATACTCTATAGCAAACAGCTGGTGGTAGACATACAGCCTTAAATTTAATAACGGTATAAAGGACGGCGGATGCCGTACTTGATCGGCTGTTAAAGATTCCACTCATTAGCTTTAATCGCTCTTGTGCCAGCTCCAGATTTATAAGTCGATATCTGATACTTAATAATTCTGTTAATCACTTTCAAATGCTGAGTTTAGATTTCATGATTGGGAATTGTGACACTCTTTGTGCATTACTGGAATATATATCTGTTGATATTGGGGCATAGACTAGTTTGAGATGAGCGAGTGTGGAGAACCAGTTTACTCTAAAATTTCTCTCCCAGTGTCCTCAACTTCAGTTTTTTAGGATACACAAATAATGCTTTGGCCTCCGAGTAGACTTTCCCTTTACCATCCTTAATGACGGCTTCAATAACTGCCTTTCTTTCAGAACTCAAGAGGCGATCATATTTTGCCTCGACAATTATGTATTGGTCTCGCCCGAGGCGGGCTTTATAGGATATGTTGAGATTGGCAGTAACCCCTGTGCGCTCGGGTAGATTCTCGATGGCTAAACGGCCCATATTTTCGTCAAGAATTGTAGCGATTGCACCACCATGCACAACAGTAGGCCATCCATCAAGCCCGTTGCCAAGGTATAAGACAGATTTGAGGGTGTTTTCTTTAGAATTGTAGAACACATGCTATCGAACATATATAGTTAGTTGCCGTTAGTTGACAGCATATTATATCCCGATCCTATATTGTTGAACACACCTGACACGACAGCCCTCTGGACCCCCGAAGACACCCACTAGTAAGCCTTGCCTTCTTCTCTTCTTCAGTAAAGTTCCCATATGGCTCCCATTCCGTATAATCTGGATCTTCTCGTAGTTTCTTCACAATCTCGAGCTGGTCAAAACGGGAATTCAAGGATGTGGTTATCTCTATATCTTCTGGGCTGTCGGGTTCTATTATTGGGCCAGCAAATAGATTTATCTCACTTGACATATACCTCCTACCTAGGTAGCCAAACAGGAGTATGGAAAGTAAAATACGGAGTCGGCGAGGCGATTTATTCGGGCCGGGAGGAGGAACGGTAACCGTTGTTAGGCAGCGAGATTGGTAGTTGGATAATTGTCTAAGCGGCAAGACAGGGTTTAGGCGAAGCGAGTATGCGCGGACTCTGGATTGTAGTCCATGCTGTATTAGCCTGCAACACATTGAGGAGTAACAGTGCGAGACAACCTCGCCCGGGACTCTCTTTAACATAGCTGCTGGCAGCGTCCAGTTCTTGAAGTTGAAGGGCGTCGCTTGCGGCGCTAGTCTACCAGCTAACTTAATTAAAAGTAAACTAGTAAAATTAACCGCGCTAGTTAACTCACCCTAGTGCGCTTAACTAATAGTTAGTCCATACAACGCCTATAGTCTAGACAGCTGTGGAGGCATCAACAGAACAACCGCGAGTATTGTAACCCTTGGGACTAAAGAGTTACTGAAGCGATATCTACATAAGATCATAGACAACTCCATTGCGGGGTCATGAGAGATATTCCTTATTGCTAAACGATCTTATGCCAGCTTTACCACGGACAATCTAAACGAGACCTTGGTCTCTGGCTAGTAGAAAGCAATAAAGATGGAAAATAAATTTCAGGGCCTACTACCTAAAAGGTTCCTCGGAGCAGAAACCCCTTACTCGTTAAGCACATCAGCAGGGGGCAAGTCGATGGCCTTGTAAAGAAGGATCAGGGCAGAGTGTGATTCACCTAAACAGTGTTAGTCATGAAACTTATTCCAATGCGTTGAAAACAAGGGATGCTACATACCACCTCCGGATAGTGTTTCAATTTTCTCTGCAGGTACTTCGGAAACCTTTTCATCGTTGAACCACCACCAATTTCCATCTTCTTCACGTCTTTTGCCATCCACTACCTTGCCCTGCTTCTTTACATAGGCAGTGTAGTGGCCACTGTCGGCGCTAGCCCCCTGATGGGTAATGACACCCCGTAGTTCGTAAAGTCCACACTTATTTGTACTTTCATCCTTAGCAAGGTCTTCATTGATAAGAGAAAAGAGCTCTTTCTTAGCCTGTAAAAGGGCGGCTGCCTTTTCAGCTTCGTATTCGGCATCTGACTTGAACACTTCTGGTGCAGCATCCTTATCTTCGGCCTTGTCTTTGTTTTTATCGGTTGCTGACTCGGCCATTTTCTTCTTTTGCAGGGGCTCAGATGCACGATCTTCTTGTTTCTCTTCTTGTTCACGTTTATGAGCAATCTTTTGGCGTTTTCGCGCACGTTCCATGTCCTGTTCGTCTTTTCGGATCTCGCGGACTTTATCCCTGACTGGAATGAGTTGCTTCTTCAACTCGTCAGTGCAAAAATCGACTACGTCGATTTCCTGCGGGAACGTGACTTTTCGCATAATTTTGGCCTTTTTTTGCGATTCCCGTTTCCAGAAGAAACGAACAAAGTGGACGGTGAGGTATTTCGGGAGGCGTGAGATTCGAGTTTTTTTGGTGTAGATAGCATCTCGGTCCAGGGTAGGTGAGTGCTTCTCGATTTTCTCTTCTAGACTAGCCATGATTCCATCGTGAAGATGATTGATTTCTTTGTCGATATGGCAATTTAGCTTGAAGAAAACGTCAGAGCTTTCTACTGCCATCTCTCCACCTTCTTTGGCAGCCTGCTCATCGCACTCTAAAACAGAGTTGATTGTCCCTGACATATACTTGTCAACAAAGGAAACGGCCTTCGAGTCTTTGCCATCGGAGGCATCCTTTATCATGAGATTTTGGCGAAGTTGTGAAATAATCTGGGACCAAGCTTCCTCTGCATCTTGCTGTGCATAGCCATGCCCATCCCTGCTTTGTTGTGCAAATTGCGGGAAAACAGTACGGAGGGAATCTAGGAACCTTATTGGAGGAAATCCCCGCTGGGTTTGTGACATCAGTTTGTACAAATCTCGAAGGGAGGCCGTGAGATCAGGCCAGCCTGAGTTAAACTGGTTCGAGTTACTTTGTGCGGTACTTTTGTATCTCTGCAGCTCTTCCTGAAGTTCGGGGATGAGGCGCAGGGTCTGCAGTGTGGAGTTCAGGTAACATGTATTTCCCAAATTTGAAAGACCAGCCGGTGTAGCGCCGTCAGCCTTTGCAACCTCAGCTTCAGTCATGTCCTCCAAAAATTTAATTGCCTCCTTCGGTTTCCTCAATGCTAGGTTGGACTCTCCGTTGGCTGGGGTGCCCATCATCATGAATGTCTGGCCCGCTTTGGCATTGAGCGAAGATAGGAGGGTGTCATCTTTAAGCTGGCCTCCTTTGACTAATATTTTCTGTCGTTCGGGTTCAACGCCCGTTAGAGAGTACAGCTGGAACTTGAATGTCTCGCCATTCGAGCTCGGGTCAAGCTCTACTTCGTAGCGTTTACCCTGATGTTTGACGACAACTAAGACGATCGTTAGCAGGATCCTGGCAATGCTTGACTCCATCACATCAGTAATCAAAGACGTCACAGCCTACCAGAAATAGGATCCATTCTTCCCGCAGATAAATACACTGAAAAAGGGGAGCTCGCGAATCAAGTCGAGTAGATGTGAGACTCTGGAGCTGCCTTTCTCCTGGCGCGGTGTACCCTGTCCCTCTCTTTTATGTCGTTGAACTGGAGGATGTTATTTCTAGTTATGTGGGGCGAAGGGTGGTGCAAACAGTGCAAACACCCACCAACCCGCAGCAACGTCAACCCGGGCCATCAAAACCGACCTCAAGTAGGAGAGATACTCCGTACACATCGACAGACAAAGATAGGACAAGCCTGGACGGACTAAACACCAAGCAAGAGTGGTGCTCCTCAAGGTCGGACTGAATTGTGATTACGTTTTACAGCGCTGGAAATCCCAGTCAGAAGATCCTTTAGCTTCGCATACAGATTTCTATCCAGTCAACAACCATCAGCATGGTATACAGGACCCCAAATTCATTTTATACACCTCGAATATGGCTAACATCACTTAGTCGCAATCCTTACGGCCATACCTCCAATGCGTTCGCTCGTCTCTGACTGCTGCCCTTGCGGTCTCGAACTTTGCCTCCCAGACCTCAGAACGACATAACGTCCCGGAAATAGAAGCAGCTACTTCTCCAGAACTTCTTCTTAATCCGCTGACGGTTGCGCGCAATGAGAAAGAGAAAGTTCTTATAGAACCTAGCGTAAACAGCGTTAGAGTTAGCATCCGAATCAAGCAGGCAGATGAAATCGAGCATATCCTCGTACATAAACTCACCAGGTTCTTAACTCAGCGAGCAGAGGCATTTTTTATCCTCCGACGGAAGCCTGTTAAGGTATCTTAATATATTGGCTTAGTACTATTAAATCCAACCACCAATTACTAACCTGGGTAGGGTTACGATATCTCGTTTTTGATCACAAACTTCCACACGGAAGCTATGTTAAAACACAAGCTGGTTGACTTTATCATCGAATTCATGGAGGAGGTTGACAAGGAAATATCTGAGATGAGACTATTCGTGAGTCTATTGCCGATTGGAATCCTTCTACCTTTTTACTATTCCGGTTCACATACAGGCCAAGCTTCTAACATAAATTCCTTTAGTTAAACGCTCGCGCGCGATTTGTTGCAGAATCCTTTTTAACACCCGTATGCTTCCACCGGTTACTATTCATCCAAATTCCATTTAACTAATCTTTATCTCAACAGTTCGACTAGTGGAATTTCCCTATTTATCGTCAGCTTTTAAGTCAAACGCTCGAACTACCGCAGAGACACCCCTCTGTCATTATGTTCCGTGTGCTCTGACCTGTCTGATGGAAACTTGTTTATGACTCAATTATAAGGTGTTGTAAATAAGTTTGTAAATGACGTAAAGTTGAACTGAAAGGTCTAACAAATATCCATGCCAACTACGGACAACTGTGGCCCTACAGCCCTCACCTATATATCTTCAAATTATATCAACCCTACCGGACTTGTCTTTTACTGCGTAAATCAATTTTGATACCTGTTGCCATTTTTTATATACACCCTCTTTCATGTCTGGCGGCTTTTTTATCCTATGCGGCTCAAATTACCTAATCAGTAAATTTTGACCACACCTCTCAAATTCCACATAATATACCAGCCCCCTCTTCTATACCCTTATCTCTGGACTCACTGACCATAATGTGAATGTAAGAGTATAAAACTCTTCGTTCTTATACCGAGTAGTTCAGTCTATATGGGAATTCCACATCATACCCCCTTCCCTGGGAGTGGCTTCCTGACTCCATTAATATATAGTAAAACGTTTAGAATACAAGGCAGGAATCTCAGCATCCCCAGTTAGATAGCATGGGATGCTATTCTTCTGACCTCCCAAAATCTATTCAGGCCTGACTCTTTATTCTATGGAGTATAACATGCGAGTGACAGACAGTACTCACTATCCCCAGCTTTATATAATCTTCCACTCTGCGGATTATATGACATTCCCTATTTCTTATGTGCCACTTGGATACCTATAAACCCACTAATCCTCCCATCTATAGGTACTTAAATCCTATATCATGTCTTTGCTTGCGCCTAGAGCACAGCCTGTCATAGACTTTCATGCTCCTTAGCTTTGACAGCGTCCTCCTTATATCTTGCATAGCCCTATGTTGCACTGTCGACGCTGCGGCGACTAAGCATCCCACAATAACAGGTATAAAAGCCCCTTCTTCTCTTGTTTGTTGACATTTTTCTTTTCTTTCTGTTCATCTCCTTTTGCCTTCACCACCTTGCCTCTAAGTACCTCCTGTCCTTTATCAGATCAGAAAGTGGTATCAAGTTTGTTGTCAAGGCTGCCACCTAGGATCTTCGAAGTCAATTGACAAGCCTGTTGCTTCCTTCTCTGCCTGCCTTAGTTGCTGCATTTTACCCCAATCCTTCTGTTCAGTCTCTTTGAGATATCTTTGCCCCGTCACCAACAAGGGCTTTTCGAAGTTGAGCTTCTGTATCAAGTCAAGACAATATCGTCAGGGTATATGTTGATTGCCAAAAATGGCTTCCTGCGTGGTCAAGGAGTATGGCTCTCAGCTTTCAACAGGTTCGTCTGATAATTCAGTCCAAGAGAATGTTGATACCACCGCAAACGGCAAGGATGAATATCAGCCTGCAGAGGCTAGTAGCGTTGTTGCAACGACCGCGTCGGTGGCCTCGCACCAGGATGCCCAGCAGATGTCGGAGCAAAGTGTCACCATTGCCGAAGTTGTCGAGCCCGAGGACGCACCAGCAGATCCCACAGTCGACGCACAAGTCTCTGGAAGCGAGAGCTCGCCAACTCCCGTTGAAAATTTTTCTTTGGCGCGCACTTCTCTCGCCTGTTTTTTCGGTCCTACACCTCACTCCACACAAAAACAAAAATTCCAACCCCCTTCTCGTCTCTCTTCTTCCAGCCCCTTATCAACTTGCAGTCTTCCAGTTGCTCCACCCCCTTCACCAGCATCAGTTTGTGGCCGTCAATACGCTGCTGCAGCAGAATCTCCTTATCCTCAGCTATCTGTTCTACCAAATCCTCCATCCTTTCTGCCCCAAATGTATCCTGGAAGCCAGTTTCAGGGGCAATACCCCAATGGCAACGCCAACAGCAACAGTGTGTCTCGTGGGATGCCTCCGGCTATGGCAGCAATGCCTAGTACGGCTCCAGGTAATGTCCAGTATCCTCAGCAAGGTAACTTTCAAAGATCCATCCGTCCTGTTCCGCCCCTGAAATTCCGTCGTTATCTTCGGCCTACATGGAGAATTGCCTATGCTTTCCACCCCCAAGTACCTATTGCTTCTGCTCCTGGGCCTTTTACTTCTGCCTGTTCCTCTTCTGTGCCAGCCCCTGTTTCTAAAGCACCTCCCATGCCTATCGCGCCTGTTTCTTCCCCTGTTAAGCCAAAGAAAAGCGAGTACAAAGGCCCACTCATCGTTTCTTCATATCCAGTGAGACCTCCAAGTCAGAATCAATCATCTCAGCAGCCGTTTCAACATTCTGCTCAGCAATCAGCTCAGCAACATGTTCCACAACATGTTCATTACCCTGTTCATCGTTCAGCTCAGCATACAGCCCAGCAGCATGGCCAACATTCTGCTCATTGGCTCGTTCATCAGGCTGCTCAGCAGCAGAGACCATCCCACTCCCAGGTTGTTATGAACAATCCGGGTCACGCATATGGTATCTACAATAATATGACCACAAACGGCCACAATCCGAGGAACAATAACAATGTTGCTGTTGCTCACTATCATAATCCTCAATACCCACAAGCCCCAGTTCCAGGGCCATACCATAGTTCATTCCCAGGAAATGGACTCTCAAACGCCCATGGCTTTCATAACATGAACAACAATACCCCTACAGCCTTACCTCAGGCTGCTCGGCCTTCTCCAATTGAAGATCCGTTTGAGACTGGCACAGGTCCTCAACCAGTCCCAGCTGGTGCTGTATTAAAGATCAGCAACGTAAGTCTTACTCGCGTTTCTGCCGTAATTCATTGAATATCATTACACCTAATTTGCTTTGCTACATCTCCATTTTTGATTGATACCCCTATTATCAACACATTTGGTTTGACCACCAACTTTTTTTTTTTTTTTTTAAGTTTCTCATATTCAATAGACATTCTATTGATCCGAGCTAATTCATCTAAAGATTCCCTACAACCTTTTGGCCCGCGAAGTTACGCATTTTCTTGGTCGTCGAGCCAAGTTACTTCCAGAAAGCAGAGGCACTTCGATCCATGTTATCATGGAACGATCCACTGCTAAGACTATGGACTGCTATGTCGAATTACTTACACAAACTGATGCAGAGGAGGCTCTCTCATGGGTTAATCGTAACTTGCCTGCTCACTCTCCACGTCTTGGTGACCGGCATGTTCATGTTGAAATGTCTTCTCAAGACGCATTGCTTCGTGAGATATTCCCCCGTGCAAAGTGTGTCCTTTGGAAGAATGGAATCCCAGAAATCCAGCCAAACACAGATAGGTACTCCACTGGTTTCCAAGGTTTTTTGACCAATGAAGAGCTGTTTTGCATGGTTCATTTTGCTGAAGCACCGAAGAGAGTAAGTCTTTACAGGAGTACTGCTGTGTGTGGGCTTCTGCTAATCACCGCTGTAGGCTCCGTTCGCCGAGAAGTGCCCGCAGCGTCCCTATGAGTTTGTGATCAGCACCCTTGACAAAGTATGTACTTTACTTCATTTCGTTAAAGCCTTGCGCTAACCAGCTCCTTTTTGCCTAGTTCCCCTGGGATTCAAAGTCGCTCTACACTGTTGAGCACCGCAATGTTTTGTTTGATGCTACCAGACGCCAACTGCAAGCATTGCTCCAGCAGGTTAATGCTAGACGAGTCATCCAACTAGATGAGCGTCTGTTAAGGGATCTCCTTAACGCAGGACTCCGATGTTCGACGTTCAATGAACGTCAGAAATATCTTCTCCGGGTGGCAGCCGGACAAGCACTGGGGCCCGTCCCCAGAACAGTGGTGTTCTGGCCCTTTGATGCCCTTACGCGCAGGGCTAATGCGCGAGAGGAGAGTGTGGAGGTAACTATGACTTCTTCTCGAAACTACTCAATAATAAATGCTGACTTTTTGTCCTTAGGAGTATGCCCGGTTAATCCGGGCAGCAGTCCTACGCCGAGTCCCCAACCTTGGGGAGCTCAACAACTCGTGGGACGCCATTCAACATGGCAACTCGCCCTTCGGGCCACTCATGTTGGAGTGGCGGGGCGAGGGAGCGCGGCGGAGCCTGCAAGCCGCCATAAACACTGAGATCGGGGTGATGAAGGCCCTGGTCTCAGAGGGGCTTGCGGCTGTCAACACCGCCGCTTGATTTCCTTTGTTTTTTCCTTTGTTTTTCCTTTGTCTATGCGTTGCTATCAGTTGGCTAGTAAGCAGTTAAATCCCTTTGGGACGCGCTGACTTGCTGGCATTATTGTATATTTCATTTGTTCAAGAATTGCATTGCTGCCAGTTGGCTAGCAGTCAGAAAATCCCGTCTGGGATGACTCCGACTTGCTGGCATTATTGTACACCTTTCCTTTGTCTCTTGCGTTGCTCCCAGTTGGCTAGCCGGCAGTCAATCCGGCAAGGAATGGCTAGCGGCTGGCATTATTGTAATTATGTATTTTTATCTGTTAGAGTAGCCGGTCCAGGCGAATCGATGTTGGATTTTTGTACCCCAGTTGATTGTTCCTAGCACCTCATCTACTAAGACTGGGGGTAAGACCTCTTCGTCTTTATTATATGCAAGACATCCTTGATACTAATTTTCCATCCAAATATTACTTTGCAAGAGGTGCACATCGATTATAAGCATCATTTTTCTGCCAACATCAGAATGACTGATGTGGTAAAAGAGAGAGAGAGAGAGAGAAGGGGTTGGCTATTGATTATATGTCTTATATGTCTAGAGTATTAACTCCAAATATCATATCATCATCTGTCACTGAAGCCAAATTTTCTGGCTTTCGTGCTTCTTTCGCAGCTTTGCCCCTTTCCAGCCCTTCCGCTCTCTTTCTTGCTCTCCTAGCTATTGGGTCCTCCCATTGCAGGTTAGGGTTACCAAGCGCTTGCCCTCCACCTACATGCAAGAGTTTCACCCTAAATCTTTCCATGCGCTCTGTGTTAACTGCAAACCGTTCATTCGAAATTTGAACAAGCAACTGCAAATACTCTTCGGTTACGAAACTACGGGCTATGGCTTCAGGTGAACCATCGTTTTCAATATAGCCTATGATTGACTCAAGTCCTAGGCCGGAAGATCGTACAGCGACAATAGGACATGCTTCCGGGTCCTCGAGGCATCGAAGGCCCTGGAGTCCACTTTCTCTGAAGCCTGCATTACTGGCAGCAGCAAGGACAGGCTGGGCATGGCTCAGAGATGCAGCCATTATATGGAGAATCTGCACCCAAAGTCAGTATGTTGAAAAGACGGAAATTTGATATTTATGGAGAGAAACGAAACACGTAATCAAATAATAACTCGGTGGAATATCAGATGCATACCATAGGCTCGAATTTGAATTTGACCAGTTGTATTTCGCCGTTTCCACTTGGGTTTATTGCGGTCCTCGATGGCTTCAGTCCAAATAGTTCATGCAGACTCTTGTCCGTTTTCTCTTCATCGAATATCAGGGGGTCATGGGAGACAAATTGCCATGTTCCGCTGCCTTTTCCCCCCTTAGGAACGAATTTATTCACATATTCTGTCCTTATATGCTTATCATGACCGGGTTTATCTTCTGAAGAGGTGTTTTCACGGCCGTCAAGGGCCCTCTCAGTGCCGGGGGCAGTGATATCAGCCTGGACCTTGCCTCCCTTTCCTCGTTCGACGAACACACTGATGCGCCCAGCGCAGCTGCTCGTCGTCACAAGGCCCGGCAGCCGGTTGATGTCCCGTATAAGAGGTATAATTGCAACATCCACCGAGCCCTTGGGGGATAAATCTGTATAGTCTTCTTCAGGGACAGACAGGTCCCTTAGTATCTTCTCCTTTTTAGAGGTGAAACTAGAAGGTATGGAGGCCATCCCCGTACAGCTTTCTCTTTAAATGTGAGCCAGACAGAGATAGTCTTTTTATCCTTTTCAACGGCCCGCTTGTTTGTCTTTTCCCTAATATCACCCGTCTAGCATGCAGCTTCTGGATGCTCCCCTTGCCTCCGGTTAGCTAACTAACTAGGTAGCGCTTAACTAAAGGGCACGATTCCGCCGTGAAGAATTTTTCTCAGCCCTATAGTTAACTAGGGCAAGCTTCAGCAAGAATAATAACGTGTATGCGCGAGCTTTAATATGCGCCAAATCCTCCTCCGTTAATGGTTAGAGGGAGACGATATATTATTGACCGCTTGGGGATGGCTGTGGAAGAGAAATGCTCCGTTCGGGTTCACGACCTCGGTAACTTAGTTAAGTTATCTTTCTAGCCCGTCGAGGCGCGACTAAACTTTAGTTAACTAACTAGCAACGACTCCAGGTACAGGCCTCGATAGCCCGCAAAGTGAGCATAGAAGCTATGCCATTGAGCGTCATTGACGTCTACAATTAATTACATGAGGATTTCTCATCGTTGAGCCTCCAAAGGCCGGGTGTCATGCCAGGACGATAACCACTTCATCAACAACCAACTACCACTACCCGCTCACCAGCCATGCCTCGCCGTTCACTTCGAAATTCAGCGCCTACAGGGCAGCAAGCCAAACGGCAGCCTGATACGTCGACCTCCAGACAGAATACAGGTACAAAACGACGCAGAACTACCTCCAAAGAGCTTCCGTCTAAGCCTAGAAGCTCCAAGCGTACCTCATCTACCGCAATAAGGAGCAAATACTTTGAACAAAACGCCTCGGAGCCCGATTTAAGTGACAGTGACTTGACTCCATTGGCATCAGAGTGCTCGGATCGAGCCTTGCTGGAAAAGGACAACGAGACAGAGGATTCATATTTCCCGGGTGGAGAAACTTCTACATGTGTAGGCGCTGAGGAGTCTGCGGAAGATAACGAAGACGAGGACGAGACTTTTGATAAGAAGAAAAGAGGAAACAAAAAGAAACCAGCAGCAGTGCAGGTGAAGAAAAGAAAAAGTGGTGTGAAGGATCCCGTTGCTGAATCCCGAAAAAATAGCAAGGGAAACGAGCTCTGGAGAGAAGGTGTCAGGACTGGCCTGGAACCAGGAAAAGAAGTGTTTATCAAACTTCCGACTCCCAGAGACGATGGAGGGATACCCTATGAGGATGGCACCATACATCCAAATACCGTCCTCTTCCTTGCAGATCTTAAGGAAAACAATGACCGTGAGTGGTTGAAAAGTGAGTCCATGATCATCATTGGAGGCATACAATACGGGATTGAATGCTTACATAGACTAATTGTATTTCTATGTATATGCTGATGCATGGATTGTAAAGATCATGATGTTGATTATAGAAAATCCAAGAAGGACTGGGATTCATTCGTTGAAGCACTGAATGAGAAGCTAGCTGAGAAAGACGAGACAATCCCTGAGTTGCCAGCAAAAGACTTGGTAAGCATATACCATAAAGAACCAATATGCTCCTGAATATATGCTGATCACAGTACATCTGCCTAGGTCTTTAGGATATATAGAGACGTTAGGTTTAGCCATGACCAAACACCCTACAAGGTAAGAGTTCCATGCTTTAAGTCGGAAGTAGGAGAGCTTTGGTCGAAAGATTATCATTCTCCCTATATTTGATTACGCGGTTTGCTAACTATACCGAAGCCACATTTCTCAGCGGCATGGTAAGTTCACTATTATCCTGCCATATATTATATTACCTCCCTTATGAACAACCCTTGCAGGTCCCGTACTGGACGGAAAGGCCCATACGCAGCATACTACCTCCACCTAGAACCTGGCAAGTGTTTCATAGGTGAGTGAATCTCTGAGTTACCCAGAATTCACCACAGCCTAATTCACATTGAATACCTGGCTCGGCCACCGGCATTATCTGTTCCCATCCCTGTGACCAGTTCATATCCCAGCGATAATTGCTCAGAAAACGCGTGAGCATAGGATAACGATAGACGGATGGTACAGAGGCTAATCGAATGTACAATCACAGGGTCCGGTTTATGGATGCCAGAAGCTAGCAAACTCGCTCTTATTCGCCAGAATATTGATCAGAATTCGCAACGGCTCAAGGATATCTTGATGCATCCAGACGTCAGGGGCGAGATCCTCGGGGGTGTTCCTAATGATGAAAAGAAAGTTATTAAGGCCTTTGTCAATCAAAATAAAGAGAGTGCACTCAAAACTAGACCAAAGGTAGGTAAATGTTGCTCTCGTCTGCTGAGCAACATCTTTCGTCCTGGGCTCAGTCACCTGCAACCTATATGAATCACCGCTGCCACTCCAAAGTGTTGTCTTTCCAAAGGCCCTTTCATTTGCCTATCTCAAGAACAAGGAGAGAAGTCTCATAGTTTTATATGCTCGGAGATATCAGTCGAAGGTCTCATCGAGGTATGCGTGAGGGAGTGAGTAAGGGAGGTAGATGCCTGCCAACCTATCTGCAACCACCGCTCGAGTCAGTCAACTTGGCCACCAAACGAGCACAAACCACTGGACGTACCTTTCCAACCCTCGTCTATGGCCTAGCTCCCCGTAGACTCAACCCTGACGAGGCCAACTCCAGCTCATAGTAAGTTGTTTTGCTACCAGACCAACCTAGAGCTGTTACCTTCCGCTGAGTTCCGGGACAAGTCGGCGATGCGACTCCAACTCGATTATGCTTACTTCCTCATCGAGATGGAAGTCACTCAGCCAGCCCATCGTCCAGCAAGGATGGCAAATCCACTCCAGCGAAAGGCCTATATCAATTCGCTCAGGCCTGACGGGTGTTTTCAAGCCTTCCAGCTCATCTTCCTGGCGGGGATGCCACCAGGGTTTTGGGCTTTGAAGGCCGTTACGGGCGGACCAGGCGAGGCCCTTGATTTGCACTGACTGCGCTTTTCTCCCATTCTCAGTTGCCACGGTGGATGGAAGCCGCTCCCCCATTTCGAACCTTCTCTCTCGCTTTTGCAGCCACTTGGGTTCCGCTTTCTGGGACTTTGGGTCAGAGATAGTGTTCGATCCAGGTTTCAAAGAGGGCCTAACTAAATTGAACCCTCCCTTTTCTTTCTCCTTTTCTTACAACGGCTTCCATACCACACCCCTCCCACTCCAATTTTTTACCGTTGATATATACTTAGTTACATGATGGCTAACTCTATTACCTGATAGGGCTACGACGCGGACAATGAGAATATTGAGCTTCTCCGCCTTCGAAGCTTCACGTTGAGCAAGAAACTTGCTGACCAGGATCTCCGTGGACCAGAAGCCATGGGCCGAGTGGCTCATATCGTTGGGATCATGGTTCAATTTGTAAGTAGAAATCAGTCTTTCCGGCAGCATGTGCAGCAGAGTTGTCTCCTTGCACATCCTGTCCGTTTTGCACCCCTCCCTCCCTCCCTCCCTCCCTCCCTCCTTCCCTCCCTCCCTCCTTCTCGGACGGCCTCTCCCATCCCGCAGAGCCAATAATGCCAACTCCAGAGTCAAAGCCAAAGCCAAAGTCAAAGCAATAGTCAGATTCAAGCCAGATTCATATTCAGAGCCGGGGCCGGAGCCAGAGCCCCATCCCTTCTCCATCCCCCATTCCCTTTCCCAGGCCATCCCATCCCTACCATCCCTCACTCCGAACTGACGCCAGACTCATAAACGACTCAACGGCGGCTTTCCCACGGCTTCCCTCGTCTATATTTCCAGGGTCCCAAAGCCTTCATCTGTCCCACATGATCCACACACACTGTAACCTCTCATTCGCGCCTTAACTGTCGCATGCAGGTATGATATGCATGCACAATGTGCTGAATTCGGGCAGAGGCACCCAACTCACGTAAAACGAGCAGTGGAGTGAGTCGGGCATCGAACCCTCTTGTCCCCCTCCATCCCTCTCCTTCAATCCCTACCCTTTCATGCTCTGCCCTCGTCCTCCTGGTTCCTCCTCACTCCGTCTCCTAGTCAATCTCTCTGGCCTCTGTCTTTCCTTTGGATTTTGGTCTATGTTCTCCACCCCCTTGCTATTCAATCCCTGCCAGCCACAAAACCATGAGAGAGGAAAAGGATTTACCGTGTCCTAGCGAAGAGTACGGAAGTCAATCTCGCTTAGCGACCAGGCTGTCTGTTAGCTCAGCATATCAGCAGAGCAATAGCAACATGGGATAGTAGGCAAAAGGGAAAGAATATGATGGGGCAAAGGACCATCTTGTTGAACACGGCCATGCGTCTCAATGTGTTCAATAAAGATTCGCTGGGGGAGCAGGCTGTCCTGGTCGTTTCGTGCCTCTGCTTGGCCAATGCAAAATAGATATTTTCCATATATCTATCACGCTGTCCAGGGATAAAAAATAAGGTTTATCCGTGATTTTATGTTACTGACATGTTTCATTCCGACAGGTCACATACCTGAACAGCATTGTCATGCCGGATCCCGAGGATGAAGACGGGGATGAATCTGGGGATGTGTAGGATGAAGACGATGGATGAAGGGGGAGGAAGACGATCCTGTGCATGTATGTTATGCACGCTCGAGCCTGGTCATTTTTCAAATCAAGGAAAGAGATCAATCAGGCTTGTCGATGAAATATACATTGGTTGTCTATTTTGTCTCTGGTTTATATATAGGCATAGTATATGCATGCACGGTTACCCGATTGGTACTTGCATTCCATGGAAACAAGGAGTTAAGGTATGTAGATGTTTATGGGATGGGGACTGCGGGGGAAGGTGCACTGGATTAGATTGAATCAAAAGAGAGTCACCGTCAAACATGGTGAAGAACCATGGCTTCCTGGCCTTGCTAGGCAGACGGACTATAGAACTCTGAACTATAGACCACGACCACTGTCTTGTTTCTGTGCGGGGAGAGTGAGAGAACGAGAAAGCTCATGACTATCTCAAGCAGTTGAAGCAAGCAGGACAAGCAGGAGTTGGGTACGTACTCCGTATCAACCCAAGGCTTGGGGGCGAAAAGGAAAACCGAAAAAAAGGACCACTCGGGGGTAAGCGTATGAATGTGTGTGCGTCCGTCTGTCTTCGAGGGACACGAACAACGCAGTCCTGCATCTCGAGCATACTTTTATGCAAAGGAGAAAAGGAAAAAGAAGGCGATTAGGTGTCAGTAGGCGTTTGAAAACAACTTGTTGCGTCGAAGATCCGTACAACAGGCATATAAACCTGGCTTCTACCGGGTATGTACATGTAGTTATGTATGCCGCTCCGTTCTTGCAGTTAAACCTTTGGAACGAACAGGTAGGTTGCTGTGAAGTAAGAGACGTGGTGATATCCCTGAGGTTCTGATATACCATGCACACTGTAGTTGTCTCCTGCTTGAAGCTGACTGTTCACTGTGCATGTGCGGAGTAGAAGGCGGGAAGAGAGATACGACGTCCGCAGTCCAGATGGTGGATGACTATTTTTGCTGCATGAGTAATGTAGGATAGATATGAAAGGCTGGCCCGCCAATCCCATCCGTCGGCCATTACTTTTCCACGGGATGCTCCGCGGCCCTCCCGCTACTGCATTGCTCGGTCAATGAGTTGTATGTAAGTTGGTGCAGCAACAACAAGGACCGGGCCAGCGATGATGGGGTGTTTGCTTTGCTGTGCAACAGGAGGGTGTGCTGACGGCTATCAAGCAACTCCCGCAGCCTCGAAGTTGTCTGTCCTATTCCAGCAGTCAGTGAGAGAATCCAGCACTCCCCAGCCATCCCTGCACCATCACCATTCATTCAACCATCACCCTCACCACTTTAAATCTATGCCGCGACCTGATATATGAGGCCGCTCATGCTGCCAAACCGCCCAACTTCTGGCCCTCCCATCCTTCTCCGTCGCCGCTTTGCGGTGATTGGCCACAGCCAAACCACATGACCAGAGACGTATGCGGGCCTAGCGGGAAGACAGGGATGGGCCTGCAAGCACCGAAAGCAAAAAGAAGACGCTAAGGGGCCCGGATGGACGAGTTAAAGACGAGAGAAGCCATTCAGGACGAGCAAGAGGCAAGGGGGTTGGGCGGCCACAGAGACAGACGAGAGGGAAGGGCAAACGTCTGGTGTAACAAGCCTGCGACTAGTTGTTTGGCCATGGTCCTTTCTTTTCTTTTTCTCCGTCCCCCATTCTCCCTCGCCGTCTCTTTTCTTTGCTTCCCGCCGTCTTCTGCTTCTCTCGTGGCTCGCACTATTGGGTGCCATCCCAGATCAATCGTCCATCAATAATAGGAATGTTCGTTGAGTGGATAATTCGATGTCCGTCGTCGTTCTGTACGGCGAGAACAAGAAAATCAACTCTGGGTTAGCTTATGTAATATGTATGTAACCGGGTATGTAAGTAAGTATGTTAATTATGGTACGTAATATAATACGCAGGGTACGGTAATACAAATACCATCGGCCTCTCCCGTACAACCATCCACGGGAAGCCCCCTGAGCCATGGCTTGCGAGTACTTGGCTACCTTCATTATGCAGCATCGATGTCGACATCGGGCTCAGGTTCAGGCTCTCGTTCAGGCTCTGGTTCAGGCTCAGGTGCAGAAGCAGGACTGGGCCGTCGCGCGCTATGGATTTTCGGTACTGGCTCGGCTGGAACTCAGCCATGACTCCTGCTTCTCTGCCTCTGCTCTCTCGTGTCTTTCTGCTCATGGACGAACATTGGGTTCAAGCCCGTCCCGTTCTTGTTATCGTATGATAACTGCTCATGGTACCGTACCATTTTATTCCCGCCCTACGTAGAGAGTCAACTGCCATAATATCTAGAGTGCGGGCTGACGGGGAAGGTAAATATCTTAAAATAACACATGCATAGACACACATTACATACGAACATCGGCACTTACATAGATACAGATGGATATCCATAACAGATAGGGCACATCTGGGATGGTTATGCTGGCGCATGCAGTGGGACGACAGATACGAGACTATCCTGCTGCTTCCTTCCTGTCCTCTCACACCGCTCCGTCTTCGCTAACTACTTGAGCCGGCCCTTTTTTTTTTTTTTTTTTCCCTTCTCATGCAGCGTGCTAACATGCATATGCAGTGCACTTTTCCTGTCTCCCGGCATGTTCTTTGCCTGTGCTCTCATGTTGACTAACGGAGTAATTGAGTCGAGAAGGGTAGGCGGTCGCTCTGGTCGTCACCGTTACTGACCATCCTCGCGCATCCATGGTCATCCAGACGGACAAGCATTCTTGGAAGGCTGCCTGCTGGATGGTAAGCATAGCTGAATGCCCTGCCCTGTCTTTTCTTCCTTCCCGCCCCCTCCACGTAAGAAGACATAACCTGCAAGGAAGCGTAGCGCGCCTGCCTGCCCGGCCCGATGCCGTCTCCAGGTTAAGCTAAAAGGGCAGAGGAAGGAGAGGGAGAAGAAGAAAGCAACAAGGACCTCCTGGGGGTAAGGAACCAATGGTTGAGCAGGCAGCACACACTCAAAAGACACATGATCAATCTGCAATGTGCCATGTCATGCAATGCAATGCAGAACACTGGAAATTGATCTGGGCGACGGAAAGATAGGTTTGATCCTGCCTGGTGGGCAGGTTATAGCTGATTGACCGATATAGCTATCTCTCCTTTTTCGCTCGTCCGACTGGTTCGTACTCTGTACAAGCCGCAGCCCTGTCTTTTGGTCTGTGCCAGCATCTTCAACTCACTCTTTCTCCCTCCTGAATTTTCGCATCTTAGGCCAATGAAATTGGTAGACACGGGTGATCCTTCAGCAAATAATCTGCATCTAGCGCTGTCCGTTTTCTTTTTCGCCCGTCTTTCTTTTTTTTTTTTCCCCTTCCATTCCTCTGCCTCCCCAGGTCTGTTTTACCCGCTCCTCCCTAGCCGTTTTATGTCCCTCGTTTTTTCTTATTCCTTTGGCTTTCTTTTGTTGGTTTGAAAAGATCACGTCCGACCAAGCAATCAGGCAGGTGGGCTGCTCAGTACGCTGGAGGCAACAGGTGTGGCTGTCTTGTTTCGTTTTTATTTTATTTATTTTTTTTTTTGTAACATATTATCCTTGGCCTTGGTTCCTCAATCTCATCGAGTGTACTCCGTACGGAGTAACTGAATTCGTCTGTCCCTTGGTTCCTTGTTGCTTTGATCGTTTTTTGCTGTTCAAGTTTCGCTTTATGCGAGGAGGATGCGGGAGCGGGCCGCTACCGCTACCGCGACCGCAACCGTTACCGTTACCAACAGCTGCGCACCGCTAAGAATGTTTAAAAAAAAGTTTTTTTTTTTTTTTTTTCGTTTTTTCCTTGTTTGTGTTGGTCATATCGAACACAACCGCGGACCAGGTTCAACACTGATCAGGTCGGATCAACACAGTATTCGAAGGTGCTGGATGTTCACGACTAGATAGAGCCTGGAGACAGAGGGGTGAAAGTCAGGCCAAAAGCCTTACCTACCGCTTTTGAACGTTCCCCTGGTAGCACGAGATGGTGAGTGACGAGAAAGAGGATAAATGTCCAGAGAACTGGGGAGATAGCAGGACTATCTGGTAGGGAACAGAGGACGGAGAAGCCTGCAAAACAAGGCAAAGAAGACAGCAAAAGCAGCCAGAGGAAGACAGGGTCAAGGACTCCAAGGCCAGGGGAACCAGGCAAACTATACGGTCACCAGACTGGCTGC